TTTCTTTCTTTCTTTCTTTCTTTCTTTCTTTCTTTCTTTCTTTCTTTCTTTTTCTCTTTCTTTCCTTCCTTCCTTCTCTCTCTCTCTCTCTCTCTCTCTCTCTCTCTTTCTTTCTTTCTTTTGTTCCTCTTTCTTTTTTCTGCTATTCACCCTAGGTACCTGATAGGGCTCCTGGAGGAAAATATCATAAAAATGTGGGATATTATATAAGGCTATATCCTAGAACATTTTATCTCTCACTCTAGTTCATGTCCATTCTCCAGCAATTATTCAATGATACTTTAATTTTCTTATTAGTTGCTGGATCCAGTTTTGGTTTTTGTTTTCAGTAAGAAGTGATTCTCACTATCAACTATCTGTATAGTTTGGGAGTCATGGTTCGCCCTATGACTTCGGTTCTCTGATGAAGCTACTGGTTGTTGAATTTCAGTTTTTTCAGCTTTGTCTTGTTTTGGGTATGGGAGTGAGGACTTCCAAGTTCTTTCCGACTGGATAGCAGGAGTCTCACATATGTTTTAAAAATCATTTTCCTAGATAGTGCATTTGTTTTGCTACTAATACAAATTGCATAACTCTAAAAAATGTTCATTTTCTAATTTTGTGTTTTTAGTATATAGATATAAAATCGGCTTTTGTATAGTTTTATCTTATATCCAGGAATCTTGTAAATCAATTGATAATTTTAAGATTTTATGTGTAGACTACGGATTCTTTTAGATTGCAATAACTGCACAGTCATATTGTCTGCAGCTTAGAGTTTTACCTCTCCCTTTGAATTTTTATAAGTTTTCTTCTTACTTTATTGTAACAATTAGGGTAACCAGGACAATAATGAGTAGAAATAGTGATAATACACAGTTATATCTCATTCCAATATAGAAGGAAAATAATTTACTATTAAGTTGCTGAAAGTCTTTTGTATTTTTTTAAGGAAACAAATTCCAAATAAAGAAATTTTAATTCATTTATTTTTTGAGATTATGACTTTTTTCTTATTTGATTAATGAGGTAAAGTTCTACATTGCTTTTTATTCCTGTACAATTGGTATTAAAATCCCCACTTTCTATTCAGATTTTAGTGATTTGAGTCTTCTTTCTTTTTTCTTCATCAGTCTAAATTTTTCTCAGTTTCATTCATCTAATGAATCCTCTGTGGACAGAATATATTTGGAAAATGGTTTTGATGCATTCTACCAGTCTCTGCCTTTAGTTTGGAGAACGTAATCCACTTTAATTACTGATAAGAAATAATTTATTGCTGCCATTCATAGCTTGTTTTTATCCCCCTATTTCCTCTTATACTGACTCCTTTCATGTTCAATTGATTTTTTAAAGGACTATATATTTTGTTTCCTTTCTAAATTTCCTTTGTATATATTCTATAGATTTTCTTTTTGGTTACCAAGGGGATTATGTATAACTTCTTAAAATTATAACAACCTAATTTAAATAAATACCAAACTTAACTGCAAACATCCAAAAACCATGTCTATACAGCTCCACCCCCCCTCTTTTTGTATTGTCACAAACAACATTTTTATACATTGTATGGTCAATGACATTGAGTTAGCATTATTTGTATATATTTTCTTTACAATATTATATAATAAAAAGTGGAGTTACAAACTACAATTTCAGTAATGCTGGCTTATATATTTGGCATGAACTTCACTAGAAATGTTTATTTCTTCATATAACTTAAAGTTACTGCCTAACATCCTATCACTTTAACCTGAGAGATTCCGTTTAGAGTTTCCTATAAGGCAGGTCTAGGAACAATGCCTTGAATGCCAGGAGATCTTCTATTCTTTGTAGTTTGGTTTTGTGCTGGAGCACTCCTTCACACTTACACCAAATTTTCTTACTATTTTGAAGATTTTTTTTCTTAAGTAGCATTCTCTTAGTTACTGTAAACATTTGATTGTTTCCCACTGCTCTGACAAAGTCAGATTTGACAGTTTCTGGAGTTTTGCTTGTTTGATTTTTGTTTTTAACGTTTCTTCTAAAGATCAAGAATTTGGGGCCTCCTCATCTATTTTGCTGCCTTATGGCGGTTGTTTGGAAACTGTCTCATAATACTCAGTTTATATTTTATTGCAAAGTACCTAGTCAACTGGCCACACCAGCTTTACACATATTCTAGCTTCTTACATCTTTTTCTCACCATTAGAAATGTCCCAACCTGGTTATAAGCTAAAAAGCAGCCATATTATCTATTTTGTGAAAGCTCCATTTATTTATTCCATCTTGTTATTAGAAAAGATGATGTAAGAAATGAATTATATTCTCTAAGAAACTGATCATATAACATCTAGTTTGTTATGAAATTTCACAATGTAGGTTGAATCCTATATATTTTTTGTTTCATAAACAGGAAAGGAAAACCAATTAACCATTATGCACCATTACCTAATGAATCCTTGTTTGGTGGATTAATGTGTACATAAAAAATTCACCTAATGATAAATATTAATTGATTGATTAAAATAAAATTACTTTTGAGAAAAGTTGTCTTACATTTGGATTTCTTATATTCTTTTTTTTAAAAAAAGTTTTTATTTTCAGCATAACAGTATTCCTTGTTTTTGCACCACACCCAATGCTCCATGCAATCTGTGCCCTCTCTAATACCCACCACCTGGTTCCCCCAACCTCCCACCCCCTGTCGCTTCAAACCCCTCAGATTGTTTTTCAGAGTCCATAGTCTCTCATGGTTCACTATATTCTTTTAACAACAGAATGATAGATTTAAAATAGTTTAACTGTTAAACTGTGTTTTTCTTGTCCAAACATCATAAATCTTTACTTACCTATGACTTTGTTTAAATCTAATTGATGTATTAGATCACTAATTGATGTATATATTGCTGGACGATCTGCTGTATCTGAAAGTTCTGAGGCTGCTTCATTTTTAACTAGAATAATAACAGATTACCAGATTAGTTGATTTAAAACTAAAATTTTGCTTATGGCAAAATTATAACACATAAAATTAATTAGAAATATTTTACTATATAGTTAGTTAGCCTTATTTTTTTTATTATTTAATCATTTTTTTAAATTTATTTTCAGCATAACAGTATTCATTGTTTGTACCACACCCAGTGCTCCATGAAATCCGTGCCCTCTCTAATACCCACCACCTGGTTCCCCCAACCTCCCACCCCCCCTACCTCTTCATCAATCTGAAGGGTTTGAAGAGTTAGCCTTATTTTTTTAAGTTTCTTTTGAAATTCCAATTAGTTAATTCAGTGAATCAGCATTTACATACAACACCTGGTGCTCATCACAAGGATACTCCCTAACTTTATTTACTTTACAATTTAACATACATTATCCAATTAAATACAAATGTGCCTAATAATTTTTAAAACTGATTAAATAGCCACTATGTGCTAGGTATTATACTAAGCATTTTTCAAATATTACCTCCTTTAATATTCATAATAATTCTAGGAAGTAGGTATTTAATCCCATTTAACAGATATGGAAAATAGAGTTGAAAGAGATTATGAATATTTTAGAAATTCACATAGTTATTAAGTACAAAAACATGAAATGAATTTTGTTCTTTTAGGGTCCAAAATCTATTCTCCAGCTAGTAGTTTCAAATGTCGACCAGACTGAGCATGTAATGTGAGTGAAATGGAATTGCCTAAGTTTGGAGCAGCATGAATAATGAAGGGGAATGGACAGTATATGTTTATTAAAAATAAAAACCTATTACTCTTCCTGTTACAAATGCAGGCCTGGTGTTCCTGGATCATCTAAATTCTCAAGAGAATACAGAAATGTAGATATTTGTAAGGAATTCCAAGATTTTAAAATATTTTCAAGTAATTTAAAAGTTTTAAGCATGGGACAAAAGAAATCATCAGCTATTATCACAAGAGATTCACCCAATTTTAGAAAGGATTAACCGTTAACACATGGGTAAGATTTAAGAGTCAATTGCTAGGTTACATTTCTTTGTAAAACATCATTCTTTATCCACCAATTTATCTATCATCTAGAAACAGGAAAATAAGTTCTAAAATCCTAAGGAAATAAGCACTTTCGGAAGAAAAAAATACCAATAAGCAAAATATGCCAAGAAAAAAGTGGAAAGAACAATTAAAAATTGAAATGCACAATTAAAGTAACCTTTCCAAAGGCCAGTCCTCCACATTTAAATCTATGGAATTCCTTATAATTCTTAAAGAATTAAATTCTATGCCATAGTACATAAAAAGGGAATTTTTGCATTCCTTTTACAAAGTCAAAATATTCATTGCAAAGATATTGACATTGAAATAGACATAACTGGCATAATTGCAATTAAAAATGCACATAGAAATATAATGCAATGAAATATAATGCAAGTTACATGTGTAACTAAAGATAATACCTTTATTAAAAATAAAAGAAACAAGTAAAATCAATTTTAGTAATGTTTTATTTAACAAAATAAATCCAAAATATCATTGCAACACATAAAAGAATAAAATTGATGAAATATTTTAAGTAGTCATTTTCACAGTAGGTCTTCAAACTCAAGCATGTATTATAAAGTTGTAATACATCTCAATGAAGGTTAGCTGCATTTTAAGTGTTTGATATCTATGTGGTTAGTGATTGCTATGTTACGCAGTACATGTTTAGAATATAAATGCAAAAATCTTAAATAAACAATAAGGAAATAAAATCAGAAGTTTATTAAAATAACAGTATGGCATCATCTAGTAGGATCCATTCCCAGAATTTAAGGTAGGTCATCTCTGAATATAGTTATTATATCAATAGTTCTCAAGAGAAGTGATGTAAGATTATTTTAAGGTAAAAAGTCATTTATAAAACTTAACCATAAATTCCTTTTTGAGTTTCCCCAACTTCATAGAGAGATAATTTATATATAATATTGTATAAGTTTAGGGTGTGTATAAGTTTAGGGCTTATGATGTGATGATTTGATACACTTATATACTGAAAACTGAATACCACAATAAATTCAACATGTCTATCACTATATATATATAATATATATGTATATATACATATATGTATATATACATATGTATATCGTATGTATATATATATTTGTTGTGAGGATATTTAAGATGTAGTCTCTTAGAAAGTTTCAAGTATACAGTATAGTATTAATAGCCACCATGCTGTATATTACATCCCCAGAACTTATTAATCCTATAAATTGAAGATTATACTCTTTGGCCAACATTTCCCCATTTCACCTACTCTCAGGTCCCTGGCAACCACTATTCTACTCTATGTTCCCATGAGTTAGTACATTTTGGATTACAAATATATAAGTAAGAATATACAGTACTTGTATTTTTTGTCTGACTTATTTCACGTAGCATCATAGCCTCAAGGTCCATCCATGTTTTGCAAAGGACAGTACTTCCTTCTTTTTTATGGCTGAATAATATTCCCCTGTAGGTATTTACCACCCTTCCTTTATCCATTGATTTTTCAAAAAGACATGTAGGATTTTTTCCATATCTTGGCTAAGGTGATTAACGCTATAAGGGACAGGGAAGTGCAGATATCTCTTTGGGATTCTGGTTTCATTTTCTTCGGATACATACCCAGAATATGGAATTTTGAATCATATGGTAATCCTATTATTTTTTTTGAGGAACCTCCATATTATTTTCCATTGGCTATAACAATATGGTTCCCTTTTCTCCACTTTCTCACCAGAACTTGTTATCTCTTGTTTTATTGATAATATCCATTCTAACAGGTGTGAGATGATATCTTATTGTGGTTTTGATATGCCTTTCCTTGACAATTAGTGATGTTGGGAATCTGTTCATCTACCTGCTGGCCATTTGAATTTCTTTGGAAAAAGGCATATATTCAGGCTCTCTACCCAGTTATAATGGGATTACTAGTGTTAATGCTATTGAGTTACATATTTAAGATATTGACCTCTTTTACCCAATATGTAGTTTAAAAACTTTTTTTTCCTATTCTGCAGGTTTCCTTTTCATTTTGTTGAGTGCTTCTTTTGCTGCACAGATTTAAAGTTTTATTTGTTCTATTTATTTATTCTTGTTTTTGTTGCTTGTGCTTCTGGTATCTTATCCAAAATGTCATTCCCAAGACCGATGTCAAAGAGCCTTTTCCTTAGGTCTTCTAGGAGATTTATGGTTTCAGGGCTTACAGTTCAGTCTTTAATCTATTTCAAATTGATTTTTATGTATAGGATCAATTTTATTTTTCACATGTGGATATTAAAGTTTCCCAACACAACTTATTGAAAAGACTATCCTTTCTTCATTTGAGTATTCTTGGCTTCCTTGTGAAATACTAGTTAACTGTATGCATTGGTTTATTTATGGACTCTCAATTCTCTTTCATTTGTCTGTGTGGAAGTTTTTATGCCAGTTTTGATTATAATAGCTTTGTAGTATGTAGTTTAAAATCAGCAAGTCCATGTCTGCAATTTTGTTCTTTCTCAAGATAACTTTGGTTATTTATGGTTTTGTTGTTGTTGTTGTTCCACACAAATTTTATGATAGCTTTTCCTTTGCTGTGGAAATGCCGCGTATAGTGACTGAAAAATCTATAGATGGCTTTGGGTTATATGAATATTTTTAAAAATATTAATTCTTCTGGGTTTTGGGGAGAGGAAGATGACAACAGATTAAGAGGGCCTTGGGCTTACCTCTTCCTATGAATACAACTAAATAATACACCATCCTAAATATCTCAGAAATTGACGTGAAAACTGACAGAACAAACACAACTGAAGGGAAGGGAAAGACCACATCAGAGAAGTTAGAAAGTGTGGAGATTTGGTATAGGGAAGATGTGAATCATGGGTACTTCAGAGGGGAAGGTCATGGGGAAGGGCAAGAGAGAGAGGAGCACGAGGGGAATGCACAAAAAGAACATTTCTCCAAATCTACTGGCTTGGAGTAAGAGAAGTTGAATTTCATGAGTTCTTGCAACCAGTGGACCTTAAAGCCCAGAGTTTAAAGGTGGGCATGGCTGGCATAGAGCTCAGAGGGTACTACATAGCTCCTGGAGAGAAGGGAGGGGAAAAACCTAGAGGCAGAGATCTTGGAAATAGTGATCTGAAGAACACATGGGGAACATGAGAGGGAGATTATTTGTTCTCAGAGTGCATCCATAAGAAGTGCTGATGGTGACACTGCTCCAGGAACCAAGGAGCTGGCTGGCAGTCTCCCTCCCTATCCCTCAGTATAAACACAGGGCCATCTGTGGAAAGCAGCATAGCACCAACACTTGCTGCCTAACTTGTGTACACCAAGCCCCATGCCCATGCACTCTGGTGGGAATACTCCTCTCAGCTGAGCTTGCATCATTCCCAGTGTGGTGGGCCTCTACCCTGGAGGACAAGCACAAACCCCTGCCCACAAACACATCTCCCAACCAGAGCTTTCTGCAGGGCCTCAGTTCTGGTAGAGGTAGTATCAGGTCTCATTTCACAAGCAGAACAAGCACACCTCGTTAAATCCCACCACATGACCAGATGACTAGCCTGAAGGATAGAGCAATCAAAACACAACACCAGAGTACACACAACATATACCAGGGACAATCCCTGAAGTGCCAGGCCCTGACTTCTTCTTCTTAAGGCTAGTACTTTCAGGAGCACAAGATATACCTGGCTTTTCTAATGTAGAGAAGAATGCCAAGACTTAGAAAAAGTGCCAAGATGGAGTAATTCATCTAAAATGAAAGAACAAGATAAAGTCATCGCCAGAGATATAAGTAAAACAGACATAAGTAACATGCCTGATGGAGAATTTAAAGCAACAGTTATAAAGATATTCACTGAACTTGAGAAAAGAGTAGAAGACATGAGTGAGATCCTTACCACAGAAATAAAAGTGGTAAAAAAAAAATCAGAGATGAAGAGCGCAATATATGAGGTAAGAAACAG